GACATACTACGACGTTCTTTAAAGATCGTATATATTATGTTGTAAGTGAAACGTATATTCTAACCCTAAAATCCTAAGAATTCTAAATTCTACTTACAACAATAAAGCTTTATTTTCTTTTCACTATTATCCTTTTACAACCCGATGAACACGAGAAAATTTGATTGCAAGAGGAAATACTTATATCCAGGTATGGAGCAATATGTACTCCCAGTGTTACTGCTGTAACCTTCTCGCTCCAATATTTACATTTATCGTGCAAACTCTTATGATCATAGATTTTTTTCTTCTTGTTATTTTTGTACGTTATTATGTAAGCACAACAATCTCGAATTAAAACTCAGTCAGCCAACCACGACTCGTAAATCATGATCATAATTGCACGATAACATCGATATTGGATCATGCGATGATAAATATCACAAAATTTGTTCTGTCGGAGCAAATGATTGGCTGAAACGTGCCGCTACGCGGCACATATCAGCCAATCATTTGCTCCGACAAACCAAATTTCATGATATTAATCGTTGCATGACCAATATCTTATACATACCAGGAACGTAGTACGAAGAGTATGGTTTAATGGCGGGTTAAGTGGAGTAACCGATTCTAGGCATCTGATTAGATGATCATTCCCGTGATTTTATGTATTTTTGTATGAGGTTAAGATACCAGTAAATGGCTGGGTTATTGTATTGCTTTTAGTTTTGTTATATATGTCAAATTGTACCCGTTTTTGCTTGGCCCCGTCTAGATCGTCTATACCAGAAACGTAGTACGAAGTACGTAGTGTATGGTTTATTAGCGATTTAAGTGTTTCTGTACAAATCTATGCCTTTGATTGGATATCCGTTTTTTACATGCATCATATGATTAGGCATACCTGTATTTATACATGCTTTAATGAAATTACAGCTTTGTTAGGCTTGGTCTTTCTGTGCAAATCCACACCATTGATTGAATATACTTTTTTACATGAATCATATGGTTAGGTATACCCTTATTTATACATGCGTTACTAAAAATTCCAGTTTTGTATGGCTTAGTCGTCCCAAATATAACAGCATTGGCAGTATAGTATAATATCGTAACCAATTATTGAAAAGTGTACCAGGAACGTAGTACAAAGTACAAAGTACGTACGTACGTACGTACATGGATGCTATGGTGTTTAGTCTAAACTGATGTACTGTACAACAATTAGTCCTAAACCCGGTATGAAACTAAATAAAATAGTCTATACTAAATCAGTTAATTATTAAGACTGTGTGCTATTGAAAGTGGACCAAGATTAGCATTAGACTAATAGATCGGTGTTCAGACTACCCTGTTTCCTGATAAGACTTAGTCGTTCTCAAGCGCCTCCCTCAATGTAATTAGCTAGTGATCGAGGTGACGCTCAAACGTTACGATCAATTGAAATAAAGATTGCGATCGGTGCTTGCCTATATATGGGAGCTTGTCAATAGAAAAGGGAAATTTCTTCTAAGTAAAAAGCACTTTAAATTTAAATTAAAATATTCTCAATAACTATTATACTAATTTAATAAATTCCGCAAAATTTTTTTAAAAAAATAAACTAATTTAATAAATTTTTTTATTTTAATTCTATATAGTGATAAAATTAAAATAAAAATTTTTATTAAATTTGATTTACTAGTAATTGAGATATTTTAATTTAAATTTTAAAGAAAAGTTACTAAAAACTTTTTGCCCTTTAATATTGACAAGCTCCCATATACGATCTTTAGCTTATTCATAAATTTACGTTCCTGGTTTCGCGTGACAGCGTCGCGCAGCTACCTTATTTTTTAATCCTTTGTTGTTATTTCCTTATATGTATTATTTTCTTATTAGTATAGATATCTTTTCTTATAATGCTTATCATAGTCTTTATTTCACTGTCATACATCAGGTGGTCCCTAAGCCAATGATTGACAGATCCACGCTATTCCTATTTTAGCATTACGATAGACCAATTTCCGTTGCTTCCATTTATGGTATACAGTATGATAATTGTAGGGAAGGCGTTGAAGGATTGTTTAGTTGGTCGAGACCTTGATCACATCATTGACCATTGAGATTGTGCAAACTTTATCAATGACTTCAATGATATTGTGTCTTAGATAGATTCCCCCGACATTAAATGAAATTCATTCCACGTATTCTGGCTTGGCTACGGAACATCCTTAATGTATATAAATACCTCATGTTCGCTTTGCTTATCAATAGGTTTTGCTTGTAGATTCTACTTAGAGGTTAGATCTGAGTATTCCTCCTTTGTAAATAAAGACTTTTATGTGATATCTTAGTTGCATCGTATTTCTTATTCGTATTTCTTATTCGTATTGTCTGTTATTGAATTGTTATACATAGTATTAGTCTTGCGCGCATATTCATTCGCCTATTGTATCTATCTTGTAGTATATGATTCTCTGAATAATTGTATCTCTTATTTTTCTTATTTATATACATCATATTATTATATACTCTATTTCGGTTTACTACCGTGAATACATCTTCACAATCCCTCTATAATAAATTTTGAGTCGCTTGGCCCCTATCGTTTGTCTGATATCTCTTTCGTTCACTATTGGTGATCTAACTCGGCCCACTTACTGACGCTCTCCCGAAATTCGATAGTAACACCGGCTATCACCTGCCAAGCATAGTGATGGGTGACGAAATTGACGAAATAAGATAATTTCGTCACTTATAATTTCGTCAATTTTGTCATTGCGGAAATAATTTCGTCAATTTCGTCATTGCGGAAATAATTTCGTCTCCCATCCAGTGAAGGAAATCTGAAAATTTTTTTTTGTTTTTTGAGAACATAAATTTTAGAGTCAATGTTCTTATTAATAAAATTTTACTGTATTTAAAAAAATATTATGTTCTCAAAATACTATTAATTATATTAAAAATTAAAAAATTTTATGTTCTCATAATGAGAACATAAATTTTAAATATTATGTTCTCAAAAACGTTTTTAATGTTCTCGAGAACGTTGAGAACATTAGATTTCCAACACTGCTCCCATCTATAGCCCAGCATCAATAATAAGGCGCAATCCATCGAATTAAATTGAATATTTTGTTACAACAAGCACTATAAAATTAAACTATATCTAGAGGTGCAAACATAATAGCATGTAGTCCAGGCCATTTTTGTAGTGTGCCATGCAGTATTTACAGTTTTCTTTGAAGCATTCTAAATTCGCAGTACAGTTATTTTAGATACTATTTAATAAATAATTCTTAACATCGTAAATTTGTTTGATTTTGTACTAATGACGCATCTGGCGTGACTTATTTGACATAAAATAGTATTTAGCGAAATTTCGAAACTTGGTGCTTCAAATTTGAAGGTTAATGAAACTTTTAAGCTTCTGAAATGTAAAATCGGAAACTTTTTGAAATATCACATACTCTACAATATATTTGGTGCGTTACTTTAAAGATTAAAAGAATCTGCATGGCATTCTGATTTCAATGGATATGGATACTCTATAAGTATATATTCCAGGTTACAACATTATGCCTGTATTTCTAACTACATCATTACGCCATTGCATATTATATCTAAAGTGCATCACTAATATAAGCAATAAAACACTAATTTAAATTGAACTCAACTATTTCCAAAAATGCTTAGCTATTGTCAAAATAATTTCTGTTAAACTTTTATTTCTTTTTCACTAATGTTCCCATAAAATTTCTGTGCTTATTATTAAACAATCACGTAAAAAAGTACAGATCCGAGCATTTTGGGGCATATAAATATAACGGGCATTTGTTTGATTTGCTTATGTAAGTCAACTGCCTGGAAACTTATTTATACACTTTAAAGTACTTTTTAAGAATTCATCATAAAAATTATTGATAGCTTTCAACGAACGCTAGCATTAATAGATTCATCTCTAATAAGGTTGCAATGATTAAGATAACTATTCGTATATTGAATTTTTATTTTTGATCAGCTTAATCGGTTAAAGATCACGATTGATTTTCAAAATTATCCGATCAAATAAATGCAAAAATCATGTGATTTATAAATTTCACTAACCAAAACTTTGCATGAAACCGGGTAATATAGTCCGCGCTGTGCGGAAATTAATTTATTTAAAAAATTCGTTTATACATATTATCAAAAGCAACAAAAGGTATTATGACACTACTTTGGCGCTTCACAATATGAAGTCATTCAACTTAAAATAGTATAGAAAGCATTTTAAATAAAATTTAAGATTATATATTTCGACGCAATTGAATGTTTATTTAGAAAAAAAAAGAACCGGAAATAATTACAAACAACACGTAACAATTACATGCATTAGCGCCACAAAATGGCATTGGGAAATTTCGGAGTTTAATTATCATTTATTATTTTTTAGGGAATCCCTATTTCTACCATGGAAATTTGCTGAATCCAGACCAAAAAATGTATTACGTCATATATAAATTGGCCTATATATTGTCATGAAAAATCACGTAAATGGTGAAAATAGTAAATTTTCATTGTGGAAATAGGCGTTCCCTATTTTTATTGGAAATTAAGGAAAAATTTCAAATCAATCTTAATTAACGATATGCTGTGTATTTTAAAATCATTTGCTGATTATTAAATCAATAATTGTACAATAAAAATATTCGTGTACTTTATAATTGTAAAATTAATTTTTGATACCAATGTTACTAATAGTGGCCACATTATCTTTTATAATTGCGTCGTATTTTTAAAATCAAATTAATCCAATGGAAGATTTAAAATTATTTAAATTGGATAAACATAATTTTATATTTAGAATGAAAATCTTCAAAATTTTATAAAATCGCAGCTTTTGATGCGATGAATTTATATAGACGACAAAAAAAACTTCAAACGTCTATCAAAACTGGGATAAATAAGACATCTTAAATATCCAATAGAACTAATCTAGCTGTTAATTCTGAAACTCCACTAAGAGAAATATAAAACTTTAATATATATATATATATAACATGAATCAATCGACGGCTCAAATTATTAACACTCAACCTTTAAACAATAATGCTCAGCTGCAAAGGCCTCAGAACATTGGGGGTCCACGAAATGGTAATCGTCGTCAGTCTCTAAGACCTCAGAACCTATTCAATAATGCTCCCATTGCCGTTCAATATTACGCAGATATAATTGAAGGCACAGAATTCACTGAAACACGAGGTATAGAAAATCCACCACCACAGAGCACCCAATCTTTAGCGTCGCTGATCTCTGGGCTTTCTTTCCCATGATACAAATATATTTTTTTAGGTTGACACTTTTTATGTAAATTAATCACTATTTATTTCATTATAAGTTTTTTTTATGTTCTAACTATACTTAGAAAATCATATGAGTCGTTATATTAACTAAATTTTTCGGACAAAGAAACTAAACAATTATTGTTGAACCTCCAAAATTGATATGAAATATGGGCAGGTTTTATATCAGTATTGAAGGTTAACATAATTAAAAACATCATTAGATTTATAGTAGATAGCAGAAACGTATTTGGTAAATTAATTACTCATCAGATGTCAGGTTTTCTTGTAATTCAACAGTACATTTTATAATAAGGCAAACAAAATTTTTAAACTTGATAAGAAAGCATGTAAGGTGTAATTTTGTTTTTTTATGGAATGAGTTATTCAAATAAAGATTTATAATTAAGCCTTTCATATTTTATTTTTTATGTATTTTTGTTCTTTAACTATTATGATGATTCGATCTGCACAATTCTCGGAGTATATTAATATCAAAATATCACAGAAGAGGATGGCTAAAGCCAGATGGATTAACTTTAGTGGTAGGGTTGATTAGTTGGGTATTTTCGTGGTGTACCTGTTTCAAACGACACTAAATGAAGCTAATAATTTCAAACTTAACAAATTTTGAAGAAGAGTCTAAAAAACAAATCATATTTTTTGGTTTAAAATTCCAAA